CCAGCCACTCCTGGTCGAGTGGCTGTCGTGCACACACCGTCCAGGAGAAAGTTTGCCGTTTATTGCTGCCTCATAAACGCATAAACATGCCGAAAGCAAGAGGAAAAAAAAGTCGGTGCAACGTTTACGAGGGCAAACCGTACGACCGAGCCTGAATCTGCGCCGCAAAAGGGTTGCGTGTCCAGGCAAGGGTTGAAGGGTCTTGTGTTTGGGTTGCCAGTTTATTGTCACCATCGAGTCGGCCCTTCCGCAGCATTTTTCCCCGAAAATATCGTATTTCTTTGCTCTAGATCTTACCGTTTCGTGGGATTTCGAATTGACAATGGGAGACACTTCCGGTTCTTAAGGAAGATAGGGTTACGCCGTTGTAATCGAGAAAGGGGAATCGAGGCACCAGCTTTGGCGAGTTTGTTGGATGGTTTTTCAAATCGTTGCAGTCGCGACGCGAGAGTTAGATTCGACGTTTTCAGCGCGTGAAATGTGAATTTATATAATCTCCTCGCCAGGATATTTTATGACCTCAATTCGAAATAATGTGGTTGAATTACGCCAATAAGTGAATGAATATGCATGCCAGACGATGTGGAACAAGGCAGAAATATTTCAAAACGTATGTACATACGTCAATTTGTAATTTGCACATATGAATGCCATATTCAAATGAAAGGAAGACACGTCTTATGGAAGAGTAAATAGAGTTTCGTATTTTCTCATAACTTTTTTACTCCTCTATCATTACGTAACATTTTCTCGATGATTTTTACGTGATTATTCGCATGTTTACTATTTCGATATCTTATCTACGTTTAATTCATTACTACGAGTATAAAATTCTACCTTTCCTCAAACATTCGATGTAAAAAGGAAAAATCTGTGGTGCTACGATCGTCTCGCGTTTAAACAATTATCGCAATGTGCGATATTAAAAATAGCCAGACAGTGACAAGGCAATTATTATAACACACCTTTACGCTTTGTTCTCTGACAGTTGCTCTTGATAATTCCACGGTACTCTTACGCGATACTTTACCAGCTGATAATATCAATAAATTGCTCCAACAATAACGACGTAACAATTATAAATACATTTCTTACTAAACACCTTGCTAAAATCTATATAACAGAATCCTCACGATCGGCCATTGATCCAATAAGAAGGAAGGAAGTCAAGTTCGAAACATACACTGTTGAAACGCGTAAGTGTTCGTCATTGGACAGGTGGCAGAGGTAGATCGCGTGGGTGGTTGCACAATGCAGCGACCCGAGGGTTGATTCGAACGCGATAAATCACGAAAGGTGCAAACGACGCGATTAATCGGCGAACGTTATAGAAGAGTTTCGTTAACGAGCAATCGCACAAACGTTAGCAAATTTTTCTGTTCTGCAGTTCTATCCAGAAAGGAAATGGCGCGTTGCACGACGCTGCACTAGCCGCCCGCGAATCATTTGATCAGCGGTAAACCGATCCGAGTGCAGCCGTAAAATTCCACGATAGCCGGTGGCCTAGTCACGAGGACGCTAAACGATAAGGCTAATGCTAGTCCGAAATCTGGAGATAGTTTCGTTACGAGCGGGCAACGAAAACGGCGTAGCGCGGCGGCAAGTTCATCGAACCTGTATCACGTTTTTTGCCTGTGAGCACGCACGTGCCTATCGTCCTTCGAATCGGAACTGGGCTCTCGCCTTGCCGCGTGTACACGTTCCCGAATTTTGTATCAGCTCCGAACAATCGATTCGAGTAGGTGACCAGGAAATCCCTGTCACCTCGTAGAGGAAACGGAGTTTCGTTTTTAAAGGATAGAATATTGAAACTAGTAACAACCTAGTGGGAGTGAATTAATATTCACGGTAAAGTTCAGGGCCGTTCTGCACAATTGAATCGATATCATTAATGAAATTTGATGAGTCACCAAGTATAAGTCGCTGATGTTAATAAACGCTGTTGCATAATAGCGGCAAGAGTGGCAATAAAATCCAATGAAATTTCGCGTATCGCGAGTTATCTGATTATACTACTCTACGAAAGATTATAAGATTGTAAAATGGAAAACTCTAATCTGCAATTCGTAACTTGTCGATTTACCGGTTCTTCGAAAGTTAGGGGAACACGGATCCTCCAGTGTTTCGAGTATACGTAAATCCATTTTAATGAATGAGATCCACAGCGGAGAATTTCGAGTAACCGGATATTACATCAAGCATGGTCCCAAAACCATATATACACGTTCGCTAGTCAAAGCCATTATAACCAAAGAAGCTTTGTCCAAATACAGAAAAGCCATTAAACATAATGTGTCCGAAGAATAAGTTACCTGAGCACCGCTACCTTTCACCGTCGGTCTCTAAAAGAGTACACTGACATCGATCAATTAAGAGGCTTCTCGACACAGAGGCATATAAACCCCGCAATGTCCCTAAATCGAAGATGGAACGAGCCTCTCGAGAACCACATAGTTAACATGTATGAGAAAAAGGGACATAGAAATCGAAGGATGAAACGGGACAAGGAGTCGCGCAGAGGATCGTAGTCTCTGTTGGAAACAAAGACAGAAAGAAGAGGTTCGGGCAAGGCAGAAGAGAGGCCGAGAGGAAGCCGGCAAGGTTAGAGAGAGACGAACGAAGAAGGCAGAAGGCGAAACGACAGAGGTGTACGGACTGTGGCTTGGTTGGCTCGAGCGAGAGGGCGCATGGCCTTGGCCGCTGCTGCGGGGTAATTCAGTCAAGGTTTCGGCC